TTGGTCTGTAATTTTCTTTTTTTTGGTGTCTTTACCTGGTTTTGGTATCAGGGTTATGCTGGCTTCATAGACTGAGATTGGGAGTATTCCATCCTTTTCTGTGCTCTGAAATACCTTTAGTAGTAGTGGTGTTAACTCTTCTCTGAAAGGCTGGTAGAATTCTCCAGTGAAACTCTCTGGGCCAGGGCTTGTTTTGGTCTGGAGTTTTTTAATTACCTTTTCAATCTCTTCTTCTGTTATGGGTTTATTTGGTTGTTTTACCTCTGTTTGTGTTAGTTTAGGTAGGTTGTGAATTTTAGAAATTTGTCCATTTCCTTTAGGATTTCAAATTTGTTAGAGTACAGTTTTACATAGTATTCTGTTATGATTCTTTTAATTTCAGTTGGATCTGTTGTGATATCACCCATGTCATTTCTTATTCAGGTTATTTGTTTCCTCTCCTGTTTTTCTTTTGTCAGTTTGGCCAGTGATGTATCGATTTTGTTGATCTTTTCCAAGAACCAGCTTTTAGTCTTATTAACTCTTTCAATGGTTTTTCTGTTCTCTATTTCATTTAATTCTGCTCTAGTTCTTATTTCCTTTCTTCTGGTACCTGAGGGCTTCTTTTGCTGCTCTCTTTCTGTTTGTTCGAGTTGTAGGGTTAGTATTTCGATTTGGCCTTTTCTTCATTTTGAATGTGCACGTTTATTGCTATGAATTGACCTCTGAGCAGTGCTTTTGCTCCATCCCAAAGGTTCTGGTAGGATGTGTTTTCATTCTTGTTTGATTCTATGAGTTTCTTTATTCCATCCTTACTTTCTTCTATTACCCAGTAGTTTTGGAGCAAGGTGTTGTTCAGGTTACATGTGTTTGATTTTTTTTTCCTTGCTTTTTCTGTTGTTGATTTCTACTTTTATGGCTTTACAGTCAGAAAAGATGCTTTGTAACATTTCGATGCTTTGGATTTTGTTAAGGCTTGCTTTATGTCCTAGTATGTGGTCTATTTGGGAGAATGCTCCATGTGCGTTGGAAAGAAAGTATACATGGCTGCTGTTGGATGGAGTGTTCCCTATATGTCTATGAGATGAAATTGGTTTATTGTAGCATTTTGTTGAGCTTCTTTCTGGATGTTCTGTCCTTCACTGAAAGTAGTGTGTTGAAGTCTCCTACTACTATTGTGGAGCTATCTCTCTTTTCAGTGCTGTTAGTTTTATGTATTTTGGAGCCCTGTCATTGGGTATGTAAATATTTATTATAGTTATGTCTTCCTAGTGTATTGACCTTTTAATCATTACATAGTGTCCTTTCTTATCCTTTGTGGTGGATTTTACTTTGAAGTCTATTTTGTCAGAGATTAATATTGCCACTCCTACTCTTTTTTGAGTGTTGTTTGCTTGATATATTTTTTCCATTCTTTGAGTTTTAGTTTGTGTCTTTAAGTGTAAGGTATGTCTCTTGTAGGCAGCATATAGACGGATGGGGTTTTTTAATCCAATCTGCCACTCTCTGTCTCTTTATTGGTGCATTTAGTCCATTTACATTCAGTGTGATTATTGACAGATATGAGTTTAGTGCTGTCACTTTGATGTTTTTTTGTGTGTGTTGTTGACAGTTTCTTTGTTCCACTTAATTTTATGTGCTGAGTCATTCTTCTTTTTGTATTTTCTTTTATTGTTGTTGATTTTGTGTTTTCTGAATCTTTATATTTTTCTAATTTTTTATTTTGACTTGTAGGATTGTTAGTTTCCTTTTTGGTTACATTAATATTTACCCCGATTTTTCTAAGTTTATATATTTTATTTTATATCTTATTTCTTTAAATCGCCTTGACTTCCTCTCCATATGAAAAGTCTATGTCTACATTTTTTAAATTCCTTTTTTTTATTTTAATGTTTTCATGTTTTGCATATTGACATCTGTTTCCCTGTTTTCAGTGTTTTAGCTTTGATTTACTTTTGTTACTTCCCTGTCTGGGTTGATACCTGGTTGCTCTGTCCTGTATTCTAGTCTTCAGTTGTTATCTGATATTACTGATTTTCTAACTGGAGGACTCCTTTAAGTATTTCTTGTAATATTGGTTTGATTTTTGCAAATTCCCAAAACTTTTGTTTATCTGGAAATGTCGTAATTTCACCATCATATTTGAGAGAGTTTTGCTGGATATATAATTCTTGGCTGGCAATTTTTTTTCTTCAAGGCTTTATATATATCATCCCATTGCCTTCTTGCCTGCATGGTTTCTGCTGAGTAGTCCGAGCTTATTCTTATTGACTCTCCTTTGTAGATGACTTTTTGTTTCTCCCTAGCCTCTCTTAAAATTCTCTCTGTATTTTTGGTTTTGGCAAGTTTGATTATAGTATGTCTTGGTGACTTTCTTTTGGGATCTACCTTATGTGTGTTCAGTGAGCATCTTGGGTAGATATCTTGTCATCTTTCACTATATCAGGGATGTTTTCTGCCAGCAAATCCTCAACAATTCTCTCTATTTTCTGTTATCTCCCCTGTTCTGGTACTCGAATCACTCGTAGGTTATTTCTCTTGATAGAGTCCCAAGTAATCCATAGGGTTTCTTCATTTTTTTAAATCCTTCTATCTGGTTTTTCCTCAAATAAGTTGGTGTGAAGTGCTTTAGCTTCAGTTTTACTAATTCTGACTTCCATTGCCTCAATTCTGCTCCTATGATTTTCTGTTGAGTTGTCTATTTAAGAAATTTTATTGTTAATCTTCTGCATTTCTGATTGCTGTCTCTCTATGGATTTTTGCAGCCTGTTAAATTTGTCATTATGCTCTCCTGTAATCTTTTCAGTTTCCCCTATTGCGTGTTCTGCGTTTTGATTAATTTCATTCCTAATTTCTTGAAGAGTTCTGTGTGTTAGTCTTTTGTATTCTGCTTCTCGTAATTCCAATTCTTCATTTTTGGAGCTTGCCGAAGCCATCATGGATTGCCTGTTTATGTGATTTGATATTGAGTGTTGTCTCTGAGCTATCAATAAGTTATTATATTTATTTATTTTATGTTTGATTACTGTGTCCTAGCTTCTTGTTTTGTTTTGATATGCCCAAATGGGCTGCTCGTATGAGCCAGTTTGATCATTTGCACCTTTGAAGCTCTAATGACCTGTCACTAGCTGATTAGATCTGTTACTGGGTATGTGAGCTCAGAAGTCTGCCCAATCCTCCTGTATGGATTCAGCTCAGGTGCCCAGGTAGATAGCCACCAAGTGTGTGGTGTAGGCTCTCACAGTCCTAGACAGGCATGGGTGATTGGTGTAGGCACTGGCATCTGGCTGCAGCAGGAGGACCCATTCTGTGCAAGGCAGTGGGGCTGACGGCTGCCCCTGAGTGTCCATCATGAAGGCGTGTTCCTGTTCCCTAGAGCGCATAGGTGGGTGGGTTTTGTGACTGGACTATGGGCACCTAATGCTGTTGACTGTAAGGACTGGGGGGTACCTCTTATTCATAGGCCCCTATCACAGGGGGCTGGGTTGTGTGGGTGGAGCCACCAGTCCTCAGGACCCTGATGTGGGTAGGTGAAGGCCCTGCTTAATGGGCAGAGCAGTGTCAAATGTCAGGAATCTGCCACTTCACAGATGAAACAGTTGAAGTTAGACTTCCGATATATACCCTGTTATACTGTGGTAATGAAGGCCTATGCTGTTGAGATGGGCCCACACAAGTCTATGCAGGGGCAAAGGCACTCAAAGTCCATGGATCCCTTATGCCTGTGCCTAGGTAAAGGAGCTGTGCCTACTCTGGGTTCCTGGCTTAGGGGAGCCGGCTGTTTTTTTCCTCTGTTTGTTAATTTGTTCACTCTCCAAGACAGGTAGAATGGCTCCGGGCATGTGATGGATCCTACTTCTGGCCCAGGGGACTCGGCAATTGCTGAAGCTGGTCTGGGACCCAGTGCAGAGCAGGGAGTGGGGAGGTAAATGGGAGAGAGGCTTTTCACTAAGGGGGGTGTTTTTCATCTGCGAGGTAGGCCATACGCAATTACTTATCTTTTGCTGATGAGGGCTGCTTCTCACTGGTTCTGGGTGGCCGAGTAGACTCTTTGGTGCTGGGTGTCTCCTGGTGTGGAAAACGCGCCTCCTGAACACGGCTGCTTGCCTGTCTCACCGCTCACCCCTGTGCTGATCAGGCCTAAAGGGCTAAGGCTCTCACCAGCTCAGGTCTGGCACCTCCTCGCTGCTTCTGAACTGTCTCTCCCTCCCCCTGCCTATCAGTCCGGTTCCTCAACTCTGCTTTTGATGTTCAGGGCTTCCAGATTGCCGTGTATAATCAATTCACTTGTTTTTTTTGGGTCTTTGTTGTAAGAGGGTCCACCAGAAGCATCTGACTACTCTGCCATCTTGGCCCCGCCTCATTACATCAATCTTTTCTGATATATAAAAGAGCATATGAAGCAAGCAAGGAAGCAGAGATGGAGAAGATAGAAGCCACATGATCGTCAAGGAACCTAGGAATAGAAGCTGAAAAGAAACAAGGACCTTCCCCCCGAGTGGACAGAGAGAGAGAGAGAGAGAACCTTCCCCTAAAGCTAGCTCCCTGAATTCAGACTTCTAGTCTCCTAAACTGTGAGAAAATAAATTTCTGTTCATTAAAGCCACCCACTTGTGGTATTTCTGTTATAGCAGCTCTGGATCACTAAGGCAAGCAGCTACTATACATGTACAATTCAGTGACGTTTATTACATTCTTCAAGTTGTGCAACCATTCTCACCCTACTTTTCTGACTTGTTTCTCCCCCCATTAACTTAAACTCATTGCCCCTAAGTTTCTTATCTAATCTTCTGAGTTGTAATTCCCAAGTGATACTAATATTTTTGACCTGGGGACCATGCTTTGAGAAGACTGCCACAGAGAATGCCCAAGAAAATCCATTGGAATGTGAGAAATACTACCATATCTATATACAGGTATTTATATTTAAAAAAAAGAAGGAGATTTCATATACATATAAATTTATCAATAGCTATGCTGGATGAGTGCTTAAAGTTTAAGTAAAGGGCAAATGATCAAATATTTTTGAATCCCTAGGCTATAGGAATAAATTCTTGTGGGACAAAGAACTTGCCTTGGCCCTTTCACTCTGGTTTTTGAAAATAACCTGAGCAATCAGGACGCATTTGTTTTTCTAAATAGCTGGACAAGTAGGGGCTACACAGGCCCCACGCCTGGCAAACTAACTTCAGGAAGGAAGGGGGACTGCCTAATGCAGTCATGCGTATTCATTGATTAGATGAGTCATAACTATGTATTAAGGCCCAGGTCATGCATATTCATTGAGGTCCCAATATCTACGGAACCTGGACGTTTTAGTGCTCTCTTTGGGGCCCCTTGGGTCCGTGAGAACGTCCAACTACAGGAAAGGGAGTGGCACGTCCTTGGGGATGATGGAAGCCCAGTACCAGGAATTCTCCCAGACCTTGCCTGATGTGTCTCTATGCTTGTATCCTTTCTGGTTGTAATAAATGGGTAATAGTATAAGTAACAGTCTACATGAATTTTGTGAGCTATTATAGAGAATTAACAAACCCACAGGGGCAGTGAGCCAGTGGCAGCTGACAGTACAGAGTCTATTTGTGTAGACCTACTTATGGGTGGCTAGGTGATAAAGGCTGCATGGGCAGTCGATGAAGAAGGATAGATTTCTTCGAGCTTGTGACCTAGTCACAAGAGACAGAGGGAGACCAGCTGATCTGAAGTGCAGGGAGTTGTGCATACTCCTGAGCCTACAGCTAGCTACTCCCGGATGACTTGGCCACAGGTCGCCAGGGATGTTTTGACCCGGCTCAGGATAGCTGGGGATGAGGTGTGATCTAACTTGGGGTAGTTAGGATCAGAGAGAGGAATTGCCATGGATGTGGCTGGTGAGAGTAGTGGTAAGGCCTGTATCCACTTGCAGCTGGGAATTGAATTCATGCTGATCCTTGCTACACAGTTAGTGATAAAGGTGGAGTTTGCCCACCTTACCTTTTTTATAATGCTGTTGGTAGCGATAGCATCATTCTCACAGTCCTCAATTAGGTAAAATCTTGCTCCTAGTTATGTCTGTGAGGCATTGTCTTAATATACCTGAATCCCCATTCTCCTATCATATTGTGCTACTTTTAGTTCTGTTACCTTACCAAGTATTTTTGTGCCTCCATGCCTTTGCTTATGTAATTGGCTCATATTTGTGAAGAACACATGATTTAAGGGTCAAGACTGTAAGCTTTACCCTCAATGAAGTTCAGTCCGTTAGTACAAAATAGAAGTTCACTTTTTTTCCTTCTTTACAACTACCTTTCTACCTTTCAGCTACTTCTAGCTTTGCTACTGTAATACTCATACAGATGTTTATGCTTAAATATGTTGTCTAACCAAATTATAAACTCCTCGAGAGCAGGATTATCCTTTTACTCTTCTGTATATTCCCAGAAATTGACACAGTTCCTGGTACACTGGAGGACCATATATTTTTTGTGTGAGTTTCTAGAAACTAATGCACTGGCAGAGTCCTGATACCATGATTTCTCATTTTACCACTGTGTAATATTAATAGTAAGCATCCTATGTAGCATTTTCTCTTCAACTGTCAACAGTGAACATGACAAGTATTAGTTCATAAACGTATGTTGTATATTATCCAGTTCCAGTCACTTTAAATTAAATACGAACGTGCTGTTCCAGGGGCCAGTGTCATTCAAGGATGTGACTGTGGGCTTTACCCAGGAGGAATGGCTGCATCTGGATCCTGCTCAGAGGACCCTGTACAGGGATGTGATGCTGGAGAACTACAGCCACCTTGTCTCAGTGGGTAAGAATTCATTTTCTTTTTCGTTGCTAATATAGATGGTTTCTTTGTAGTGATTAATGATTTATAAGTTTGAAATTCAGGAGTCAAAGCTGATTGATCCCTTTTGGGTACTGTAAGAATATTTGTGTTCTTCTCTCTGTTGAAATATTCATTAGGCCTATTTTTGCACAGCTCTGATTTTTGTGCAGGCGCACCTTTGTCCTCCTTTAAAGGTCCTGAACCTCAGGCCACTTGGCCCAAATCCTGTGTCATTTCCCCTTCCCAGGGTATTGTGTTACCAAGCCAGAGGTTATCTTCATGCTGGAGCAAGGAGATGAGCCATGGATACTGGAAGAAGAGTCCCCATGCCACATTCACCCAGGTGAGTTAGTGAGTACATAGCGAGGGAGAAATAGATCCTAAGGAGTTAGTTCAGATGTTAGCATCTTTGAACATTTTCAAAACCTTTTTTTAGAGTTACCAGAACTTTGGAAGTGACTGAGAATAATTGGCTTGTATGCTTGAGATATATATATTACATTTGAAATAATAACTAGATGCTCTTTTTTTCTTCCAAAAACCCAATCTTTGCCTGTCTCATTTTAGATACTTGATTATTCTTTGTGTATCAATTTTAGCTGTTTTCTTTTAATCATATATTACTGTGATTGTTAAGGTTGTGTGTCAACTTGTCTGGGAAATGATTCTCAGTGATTTGACAGTTACGATGTAGTTTGGCAGTCATATAATGATGTAATCACCTCTATGATGAGATCTGCTCTGAGTAGCCAGTAAGTTGAAAGGGAATTTCCTTGAGGATGTGGCCTGCATCCAATATAGGCGGACTTTCTGGCAAGGCTGGCAGGCTTTTGCTCACTCTGGATCGTGCAGCTGGCTCCTGTTCATCTGACCTCCGGTTCTTGGGACTTGAACTAGCAGCTTACCTGCCATCTTGCCTGCCAATCTTGGGATATGTCGGTCTCCGCAGCCTGTGAGTTAGATGCCTACTGTCTAACTTGTCTATCTAGGATTCACCAGCCCCTGCATCTACTTGAGTCAGGAGAAGCCTCCAGCCTGACTTGGGACTTTCCAGCCTCTACAACTGTGTGGTCTGTTTCTTTGATATAAATCTCTCTCTATATATATTTATACGCTTTACTGGTTTTGCTTCTCTAGAGAACCCAGCCTAAGATATTTGGTACTCAGAGAGGTTTCTAGAGAAGTAAAATTGTGAGGATAAGTTTTCTAAATTGATTCTCAAGTCTGGTTAGTCTTAAAGATGTTGATGACTCTGCTTCTAGTAGTAAAGAGGGTGCTGCTAATCCATGGCATGAGGTGGCAATAGAAATATGCAAAATATCACCAGCAATAGATCAAGTATTGGTGAGAGGTGAGGCTCTGGGTGACTGTGTGTTTGATACCTTTCTACAGTTTTGTCATAATGAGAAGTATAAGGAAGCTAGTTGGTTGGTCCTACTTTTGCTAGACAAAGTGCTAAAAGAAAGAGATGAGCTCAGGGCTTCAGAGTCAAAGCTCAAGCACCCCATAAACTACCTCAAAGTTTTACACTTGTGCCTTGAAAGAAAGCCTTACTTCTTGTAGCAGCAGAGCTAATATTGCCAAAAACCAAACCCAGAGTCTTATTGTAAGAGTGGCTGAATTAGAGTGCCAGCTGAATTCCCAAACTTGAGTGGTGCCTGAAGTTAAAGTGAGGGCATTGATTGGGAAGAAATGGGATCCTGAAACTTGGGATGGGTACATATGGGCGGATAATCAGGAAGTTGGGGACACTGAGCCCCTAAATTCTGTTGAATAACTCCTGCCAACAGAACCAGCCCTCTTACTCCCATCTGAAGAGATTACTCCATCTTTGTCTGCTAAGCCACCCTCCCCAGTAAAACCATTAACCTTCCACCCCCCTTAGATGAGATTAACCCAGCTGTGTCTGAAGAGCCTTTGTCTGAGTCATTGCCTGGTGCATTGCCTGAGGCAGATACCTTACAAGACATTGCTGAGTGTTCTCAAAACACATCCACACCACCCATTAAGGCTTCTAGACCTATAATTAGACTTAAGTCCCTGCAAGCTCCAAAAGGTGAAGTACAAAGTGTGACCCAGGAGGAGGTACGCTACACTGTAAAAGAACTACTTGACTTTTCTATGTACAAACAGAAAATTGTGGAATATGTGTAAGAATGGCTATTAAGGGTGTAGATAATGGTGCAAGGAACATAAAGATGGATCAGTCTGAGTTTATTGATACGGGCTCACTAAACACAGATTCTTCATTCTATATTTCAGCTTGAGAGGTTAGGAAAGAATCTAATATTTCATTTGGTTGGGTTGCTGAAGCATAGATTATGTGGTGGCCTAATCTAAATCAAGTTGAAGTAGCAGACCTGCCTTGGTATACTGTAGAAGAAAGTATCCAAAGGCTTAGGGAAATTGGCATGTTATAGTGGATTTATCAGGTTAGACCCACAGACCCACACACAGAGTGCCCAGAGGACACACCTTTTACCACAACTGTGAGGAACAAACTTGTGAAGGGACCCCCAGCATCTGTGAAGACGGCTGTGATTGCTATTTCATGTAAGTCAGATTTGACAGTGGGAACTGCTCTAACTGAATTAAGACCTTACTCCAATGAGGCTGATCGGACCCTGTGGTAGTAGGGGCCAAGTGGTGGCACTCAGTTGACACAGACAAGGTAGATGTGGTTACCATAATGGACAGTGGATGTCATAGGTCGAATTATGTCCCCCCCCCCCAAATGTTTATATCAATTTGGCTGGGGCCATGATTCCCAATATTTTGTGATTTTCCTGTATGTTGTAAGTCCTGCCTCTATGATGTTAATGAAGGAGGATGAGTGGCAGTTGTGTTAGTGAGGCAGGACTCAATCTGTAAGATTGGATCGTGTCTTGAGGCAATCTCTTGAGATATAAAAGAGAGAAGCGAGCAGAGAGACGGGGACCTCATACCACCACGAAGGCAGCACCAGGAGCAGAGTGCGTCCTTTATACCCAGGGTCCCTGTGCGGAGGAGCTCCTAGTCCAGGGTAAGATTGATGAGAAGGCTGACAGAGAGAGACAGCCTTCCCCTGGAGCTGATACCCTAAATTTGGACTTTTAGCCTACTTTACTGTGAGGAAATAAATTTCTGTATGTTAAAGCCGTCCACTTCTGATATTTCTGTTATAGCAGCACTAGATGACTAAGACAGTCGAGTCAAAGCAGTAATCAGAATAGTCTGACTCATATGGATTTATGGCGTTGGCTACTTAGTCATGGTGTTCTTAGGCATCAAATAGATAGGAAATCTAAATATTTACTTGATCTGTACAAGTGGAAGAATTCTAGGTCAAGCGAACAGCAGTCTAACTGGATTTACCAGAATTGACAGTCATGACCCCTCAATCAATTCCCAGACTTGAGCGAGTTTATAGACCCACAACCCCTTGAATGAAGGGGATGCTAGGTCTACTTGTGAAAGGACTCTGATACACTGCCAAAAACTTATACTGTTACTCTTTCTCCCAGCCTTCCCCAAAGCAGTCTACAGCCTTTTACTAGAGTGACTGTTCATTGGGGAAAAGGAAGTAGTCAGACTTTTTGGGGATGACTGGATACTGGCTCTGAACTGACACTAATTCCAGGAGACTTGGAATGTCACCGTGGTCTACCAGTCAGTGAGGTGATATGGAGGTCAGGTTATTAATGGAGTCTTAGCTCATGTCTGTCTCACAGTTGGTCCAGTGGTAATTTCCTGTAGTGATTTCCCCAGTTCCAGAATGCATAATTAGAACAGATATACTCAGTAACTGGTGGAACCCCCACATAGGATTCCTGACAAGTGGAGTAAGGGCTATTATGGTAGGAACAGCCAAATGGAAGCCATTAGAACTGTCCCTACCTAGAAAAATAGTAAACCAAAAGCAATACTGCATTCCTGGAGGGATTCCAGCGATTACTACCACCATCAAGGACTTGAGGAATGCAGGGGTGGTAATTCCTACCACATCCTAATTCAGCTCACCTATGTGGCCTGTGCAGAAACAGATGGCTCTTGGAGAATGACAGTGGATTATTGAAAACTTAATCAAGTGGTGACTTCAGTTGCAGCTGCTGTTGCAGATGTGGTTTCATTGCTTGAGCAAATTAATACATCTCCTGGTACCTGGTATGCTGCTATTGATCTGGCTAATGCCTTTTTCTCGATACCTGTTTCAAAGGGCCAACAGAAGTGGTTTGCCTTCAGCTGGCAAGGCCAGCAGTACACTGTCAATGTCCTACCTCAAGGCTATATCACCTCTCCAGCTCTCTGTCATAATTTAGTCCGCAGGGTACTTGATTGTCTTTGCCTTCCACAGGACGTCCCAATGGTCCATTACATTGATGACATTATGCTGATTAGGCCTAGTAAGGAAGAAGTGTCAATGGCTCTGGACTTATTGGTAAAACATTTACATGCTACAGGGTAGGAAATTAATCTGACAAAAATTCAGGTGCCTTCCACCTCCGTGAAAATTGTAGGGATCCAATGGTGTGGGTCATGTTGAGATACTCCATCTAAAGTGAAGGATAAGGTATTGCATCTGGCCCCTCCCACAACTAAAAAGGAGGCACAATGCCTAGCGGGCCTCTTTGGATTTTGGAGGCAACATATTGCTCATTTGGGTGTGCTACTCCAGCCTATTTATCAAGTGTCTCAAAAAGCTACTAGTTTTGAGTGGGGACCAGAACAAGAGAAGGCTCTACAACAGGTTCAGGCTGCTGTGCAACAGGGCTCTGCCTCCTGGACCATATGATGCAGCTGATCCAGTGGTGCTTGAAGTTTCAGTGGCAGATAGAAAAGCTATTTGGAGTTTTTGGCTGGCCCCTATTGGTGAATGACAGAGGAGACCCTTAGGATTTTGGAGCAAAGCCCTGCTATCCTCTGCAGATAACTACTTTCCTTTTGAGAAACAGCTTTTGGCTTGTTACTGGGCCTTGGTAGAGACTGAATACTTAACCATGGGCCACTTAGTCACCATGTGGCCTGAGATACCCATCATGAACTGGGTGTTGTCTGACCCACAGAGCCATAAAGTTGGATGTGCACAACAGCACTCCATCATTAAATGGAAGTCGTATATATGAGATCGGGGTTGAGCAGGACGTGAAGGGACAAGTAAGTTGCATGAGGAAGTGGCCCAGATGCCTGTGGTCTCCACTCCTGTCACATTACCTTCCATCTCCCAGTCTGCACCTATGGCCTCATGGGGAATTCCTTATGATCAGTTGACTGAGGAAGAGAAAACTCCTGCCTGGTTCACAGATGGTTCTACACGATATGTTGGCACCACTCAAAAGTGGACAGCGGCAGCACTACAACCCTTTT